TTTTCATTTTATTTCAAAGCATCGTGGGCCACAAAAAATTACTTCAGGGGGGCCGCATGCAGCCCGTAGGCCGCCAGTTTGATACCCCTGTTTTAAGGCATATCTAATGAGAAATGAAGTATATGTACAGTGGAAAACTAAAAAGTAAAGATTTGACTGACAAAATGGCTACCAACCACGAAAGCATGTGGAAAGGGAAGGCAAGAGCTATGTATACGCATACATCCCTGGGGTGAGGTCCAGCAACTATGGCAGGGACCAAATTCAATCCAGGGATACATATGGCAGCCAACTAGATAGGAGGGGGAAAGAACGAGGGGGGAAAAAGACATGGGTAGTGAGGGAGCAGGGCACTAACCCACATAAGGGGAGGGTATTGTTTATATCTCCACAGGAGAGGGAGAGAGACCAGGCTTCACCCCCAATGCACCAATAAGTGAATACAACATACAGGTATGTACCAGAGAACCAACAGAGAGGTCTGAGGGACCAGCCCCAACCCCAGCTATGCGGACACCCCCTACCGCCTCAGAAGAATGCTCTTCAGAGGACAGCATTGGGATTACAGCTTGGGGAAAGGGTGCATCGGATTAGAACACATGGAAGAAATGAAAGGGGATGGAAAGGGAGGAGAGGGCATCCTGGTCTACCAAGCCCCAAGGACGATGTTCCTGCTTGGAGCAGATAACGCATGGGAAGGAGCACAGGGCCGGCCCCACCATGGGACATGGTGTCCCTCAATGAAGGATGACACTGCGCGGGACAGCAATGGAGACACAGTGTGGTAATAGTGCACAGTCTGGCCACATCAGCTGGGGCGAGGCACTGAGGGCATGCAGCAGGGCAGCAGGGGGAGCAGAGTGATGAAACACAGAGGGAATAAAAAATAGACCATGGAGACAGGGTGGCATCCCATCAGACTCAATTGGAAAACACTCATAAAGGCCAACAAACAGACCTTGAACTATTTATAGGCTTTTCCATTTTGGTCCCTGGCTTTCTTTTTGTTATTGTTATTTTGTTTTGGGTTGTTGTTATTGTTTTGTTGTTTTTTATTCCCTTTGCGAGGTTTTTGCACTTATTAATGTAATTGCATGTCTACCTAGATAAGACAGGCAGGATAAATAACTCGGAGATGAAAAAAACAGGACCACTGATTC